TAAAGTAGCTGATTGGAAGCCAGCACCCGATATCCCCCTACTACCCTAGCCACCCTACACTGAACTTCGTATGGCTTTGGAACAGTCACTGAAAAGTCCTTGAAGAACCACTTAACCTTTCTTCCATCCACGTCCGGGCCATGTTTGCTGTAGGAAAATTTGATAAGCTTGTAGCTAAACATAGAAGAAGCACTTTTTCAGCCTCAACTGCCAGAAGCTCCAGTTGAAATTCAAACTAGCTTACATAAAAATGGGATGTATTGTTTCATATATTCATTGGCTTCAAGTGTGACTTTAGTGGGCCCACATCTCTCTCCAGACCCAGTCTCCTGCCCTCTTTTGGTTCTTCTTCCCACTGTGTTGTCAGAACAAAGGGCCCCTCGAAGATCCAAGTTCACATTCACCCTATTTTAAGTTCCGTGGAAAAAATGTACCACTTCCTGATAGTTGCACAGCAGGATCTAGGGTTTTATCTGGGGGGCCATCCCTGGTCACTGGGCTTACCCCCAAACAATCACGGAGGGTGGGAGATTTGGCTCTTGGATCAGACTCTCTTCACTGGTAAGCCGAGTGAGCCAAGTGTGAACTGAGTGTGAGGAAGGATAGTTTCCCAAGGTGAAGTCAGGATGTGGATGCAGGGCAGGAGGAAACATTAATACCCATCATACTCTTCTGCGGAGACATGACCGTTAGCAGCCTATCTCTTGGTGTGGATTACATGGCACAAGACTCATCTGGCTACAGAATAGGCAGAACTGGGGAGCCGGCAACATGTAGCTCCCCAACTTCTTCCTCCCCACAGATTGCTGGGGACAAACCCTGTGTGGGGCAGGGAAAAAAAGTGGGTGGCCAAAGTCACGTAATAACCTTAGTGATTAGTTGAGCAACTACTTTGTGCCAGGTGCTAGTTATGTTACCTAATTTAATTCTTCCAATAGCATTATGTTTTAAGGATGGTTATGCTCATTTTAGGGATAAGAAGCGTAAAGATAAAAGAGGCTAAAAAGAAATGGCTTTCTTTTTCTAGAGTGCACTCTACGGTAATCTGTGTGTATTTGCTTGTATGCTGTCCGTGTCCTTCACTAGAATGTAAATTCCATGAGGGCAAGGACTTTGAAGGTCTGTCTTATTCACCACGGAGTTCCCAGTGCCTGGAAAAGTGCCCATGCAGCAATAGGTGCTTAACAAATACTCCTTAAATATTTGGGCAAATAATGACTTTTATAGTCTCCCCAAACCTTAGAAAATTAGCGATAGCCAAATACAGCAGACATTTGCAACTTTTATTGCTCATGTCATCAATTTCAAACCATTCTTGAGCTTTGCATTCTCCTTGACGTGTATCCGCCTCCTGCCCACCAGCCTGCAGCTCTTTTCCCAGAGAGCAGACCCTCTTCTCAAGCCAAGCAAACTTGCTGGCTAGCTATGTGGCCACACCAACGCATCCCCACCTGTCCATGACACCTCTGGAAACTCCTGCCCACTTCTGCTCTCCTCACTTATCTGGCTGTGCTCCCAGAAAGAAGCACGCATTGCTAAAGCCCTTAATATTGAAGATCCTGATTCCACTAAAAATGATCCTGAGGGGCCCCTGGGTGGCTCAGTTGGTTGAGTCGGTTTCAGCTCAGGTCATGGTCTTGGATCGAGCCCCAGGTCTGGCTCCGGACTCGATGCGGAGTCTGTGTAGGGCGGAGAGTCTGCGTGTGGATTCTCTCTCTCCCTCTGCCTCTGCCCCTTGACCAGCTCCCTCTTTCTCTCTCTAAAATCAATCAATCAATCAATCTTAAAAAAAAAATGACTCTGTGGCTGTCAAAGAGGGCTGTCCTTTGCGAAGATCAAGTAAGCTATATCTGTGCTGGTAATGGCAAAGCTTTGAAGAATTCCGAGCCAGGCTTTGTAGAGTTTTGACAGGGCAGGTAATTGCTATTAGATATTTAAAGAGACAAGGGATTAGATATTTGTGTGACTCCAAAGTGCAGAACTAAAACAAGGATGAAAACGATCGGGAACCAGATTTTAGATCAATATACAAAACAACTGTCAAGTAAGAATTTTGTCAGTGGGACAGGCTGCGAGTAGAGTTCATCATCACTGGAGGCATGTAAGCGTGTCACGGAGGGGATTCAGGCATCTGATGAGGGACCACACTGAATTACCGCATGTTCATCATGTCTAAGTTTACAGGTTGTCATGGTGATGGGCCATTCCCGGACTGTGGGGGCTTTGGGAAGGGCTGACATGTTATGCTATGCATACATAGGACATGAACTTTATTTCATAGTAAAGTTGAGAAGCTACCGTTAAGAATAAGTGTATGCGTGAAAGAGCCTGAAAAAGCAGGAATGAGAAAAAGAGAGCATGGGAAAGGGAGTGGAGAGGAGGTAGAGAGAGACAGAGAGAGAGAGAGAGATTGAGAGGAAGAGAGAAATGCATTCTTCATGCAGGGAACAGAAAAACACTTCAGCTTTCTGCTTTCGTTCTTCATTCATAAAGGACGTACATTCTTTGTATCCGCTTTAGCACCGCTCTCACAGCTATTGTGGGAAGACACAACCTTCCCTAAATGTGGGAAGGAAAGCCTGATTGCCAGGCTTCCTCTTTGGCAATCAGAACACCTGGGAGAGTGACATGATTTGTGACGGGAGAGGGATGGAGCCCGCGTCAGATGGGTAGGCCAGAGTCTGGCCTGTGTTGTGTTCTGTAACATTTAATACCGAGCTCCAGAGTACTTTGTAATCATTACCCGATCTGCACGGCCTCCCTGACAGGTAAGCTGTGCCACCCCCAATTTAGACACAAAACAATGGGGGTGATTGAAGACTCTGGGAGTTTCAGGGCTACAACCAGAAGCTTGGATGCCTTGGTTGTCGGTTTGATGCTGAAGTTCCTTGATTAACACTTTTCAAGCAGCAGGTCTTAAGTGGCACTGGTCCCCAGAGGGGTGCTCTGCCAACGGGGTGTGTCTGGCCCCGCGCTGGGACTGCTGATCCCATCCGGGCAGCTGGAGGACTCCCATGCATCTTTGAAGGTCATAAGGACCGCCGTCTCTCACTTTGTCCAAATGTCATTTGTTTGCTCAGAATGTTAATCCTGGGGTCTCTGGTCTGTGATTCTTAGAATGCTAACTTAAGCCTTCGTATGTTGATGTTATGTGTATGTGTGTATAAATCTGTGTATGTCTGTATGTGTGTGCATCTGCGTGTGTGTGTGTGTGTGTATTATACTATCCTTGCTTTACCTCTCCTTATGCTTTACTGCTTACTACTTCCAAAGACAGATTGAACTTTTTTCACTGTATCATTCTGCTAGCACCCTTCTGAATACTAATAAGAGAAAATTATTTTTCCTGGGAAAAATATTGCCGTGCATCCTGACATTTTTGGCAAGTCTTTTTCGACTCCTAATGGAAAGTTTTGATAAAATGAATTATCTTTTGTGCAGAGTTGTTTTCCTTTGTATTTTTCTGTGCCTACCATTCTTTCAGTTTTCTATTGAATTATTATTTTCTCTGTAATACTTTACAAGTTGTAATTGCTTTGTTATCAGAAAGACAGAGGTAGGTTCATTTTATCCTTTTATCACCTAACATCTTGGTGAATGAATTGTAGCACTCCTCATTACCATAGCTTTGTTCTGCTCGGTTTTTAATGATAATTGCCCTTGTCATTTCTTGTAATGTAAGCTATAGAAATCTTAAAGAAGAGAGACATTAACAAGTCAGAATATATTTTCAAATGAATTGATAAAGAAATTTCGTGTTTCATTTAAAAGCATTAATTAAATGACAAGGAGCTCATGAAGTGAAATAAACAAAAGATGGACAAATGACATTGTCATAGCGAGTTCGAAGAAGGAAGCACATGAGCATGTGATTAACTGAGACAGAATATTATCTGCATGGGTCTGGTCATTCACACTCCCACCCCCCGACTTATAACCCTTTCCGATGCTTTTTTTTTTTTCCCTTTCTTATTTCTTTTTTACATGAGTGCTCCCCATCTTTGTCTTCTTTATATGCCAAACGTTTTTCTGATTTTGCACTTCTGGGTGATAGAACATACATTTGTGTGTTTATGCTCAGAATTGTTAACGCTGAGCTTAACAGGGGGCTGAACCTGTGCAAGCCAAGAGCCCCACATTGCCCTCTTCTGTCAGATAGGGGAATTGCCCATCAAACCAATCACGCCAAGTAAGGTGGAACCTGGGTGAGTACCTAGTGAAGGATGCAAGAGTTATGTACCTGTGTGATGGAGTTGTTCTGTGAAGTGGAGATCAAGGAGCAGTTGAGCAAGGATCTTCTTCCTCAAGTTGATTATACGGTGAATTTCTATGGAAATTGCCTACTTTGCAAGCAGAATCCAACTTTTTCCATCTTTGATTTAACTCTTCTGCTACATAAAATACGTCACTCTTGCCAGTTTCTGAGCTAGTCCAGTTCCAGGACCTTACTTTGGAGAAGAGGTAGGAACCCCCATCCTATGTTCCTTTTGCGATTTTGACCAAGGTGAGAACATACTTGCCCCGTCTAATCAAGATAAAGTGTAGTGTATTTTCTGAAAAAAGCCAAGGGAAGGTATCCTAGAACTTACAAGAGCCTAGACTTGAGCACATTTGTAATTTTCTGATCCACACTCTGCTCTGTCTAGTTACAGATGAAATTTGGCAATGCTCCTTCTAGCCTGAAGTAGATGGGTGTTTTAACTACTTCCACATTCTAAATCCTATGCGAAGTCTCTTGCCAGGACCAGGGGAAGTCGTTATCTACTCAAAATGGGAAGTGTTGATAAAGTGCATTATCTTTTGTGCAGTCGCTTTCCTTTGTATTTCTCTGTGGGCATCCCCCCTCCCCCACCAATTCTCTCAGTTTTCTATGAAATTAATTATTTCCTCTGTATTCCTTTATAGGTTGCGGTTGCTTTGTTTGTAATCGCTTTCTGCTAGAACGTGCTTCCTGGTTTTCTCCTAACCCTTTTTTCTCCCAACCTGTTCCTTACCCACAGGTAAACAGATCAGCTCCTTCTGAGTCAGGAAGATATTTTCATGTTGGCTCATCATGATTCTTCTCCCGGTCCTCCTCACCTGTAAGTAAATCTCCCTTGCATTCAAAACTGTACTGATACTGTCATGAGTGTTAGTGCTATTACGGTGAAGAACATTTACTTTTCCATCTCTAACACCTAGCGTGGCGTCTCATGCATATTAGGGCCTCAAGAAATGTTTGTTGAATAAATGAATTGACGATATACAAGGTATTTATTTGGAGTCAGATGAAAGAGCTAACAGGTTAGAGCTGTGGGCCCCAGGAATTCCTGTCCTCACACTTGACCTTTTCCCTCAAACTTGCCTGGAGCTTATTCATGAGATGTTTCAGACTTGTTTAACTTTTTGATGATGCATAGCAGTTCTAGCTAACATCTGGAGATGGTAGGGGACATGTGGTCCAAGTCAGAGCCAACTTTCCCCATAGCCTGGTGGTAATAAATTATTTCCTTGTGGTAACCAGAGGCAGACTCATACTCCAGTCTGGGCCTGGTTCCTTGTTTCTGTTTCTTGTTTGAGGGATCCCTCCATCTCTGCTCACGTACAAAGCAGAGATGGTGGTTGAGCCCGCTGGTTGAACAAGACATTGAATTTCACTCTCTTGGTTCTTTGTTATGGCCCACAACCTCCCCACTTCTTAGGTACCTTGAAGGAAGGATGATCCCAAACCACATTCCTAGAGTTTTACATCTTCAAAACTACTCCTTTTTTTTTTTTTTCCCCCACTGATGGATATGCTCTTCCAGTTAATGTTTGCAATTAGAATCTAGATATTCTGGGGTGCGTGGGTGGCTCAGTTGGTTAAGCGGCTGCCTTCAGCTCAGGTCATGATCCCAGGGTCCTGGGATTGAGTCCCGCATCAGGCTCCCTGCTCGGCGGAGAGCCTGCTTCTCCCTCTCCCTCTGCCTGCCTCTCTGCCTACTTGTGCTCTCTCTCTCTATCTCTTTCAAATAAATAAATGAAATCTTTAAAAAAAAAAAGAATCTAGATATTCTGATTCCTAACCTAGTGCCATTTCCATATTATAATACTTTTGAAGATTTAGTGACTTTCAGAAATATGCAACTGACTCAGTGATAATGTGGTATTTAATTATTAGTCATCCTGACACTTGATTGTATTCTATATCCAATTTCTCTCTTTTCAATAATGGCTGGAAAACTTATAAGAATTGTCTCTCTATATTTTTGCCATTTCATCCCCTTGACCTCTTCTTCCAGGCTTTTGCAATCTGGCTTTTCTATCACCTTTTGTCAGACTGTAATTGTCCCAGAAATGGATAAGCCCAGTGGTTTTCCTGAGAGCTCTCTTCCTGGATCTTTCTGCAGTCCTAGAAGCTGATGTTCACTTTTCCCTTCTGGTAACATCAAAGACATGGCACTCTCCAGATGATACTGTTATATTTCAGTAATTCCTTTTTAAAAAAAACTTTTCAACTCTAAAACATTTCAAATATCTACAGGAGAAGCAAAAATGGTATAATAAATCCCTGTTTACCTATCAGCCAGTTTCAATAATGGTCAACACTTTGCTGCTTTGATTTTCTTATCTCCCCATACTTTATTTTTAAGGGGATTAAAGCAAATCTCAGACTGCATATTATTTGAATTATAAATAATTCAGTGTGTATCTCTAATGTAAAAAACCTAAAAAAAAAAAAAAAAACAACAACCCTGATGGCATTAGCACATCTAAGCATTAATGATAATTCCTTAGAATTACTCAGGAATCAGTCTGAATTCAGTTCCCCTATTCATGCCGTCTATTTTGGAATAGGAATCATTTGTATGTTAGAATTTTACTCATACTGAATCTGGCTAATTGTATCCTTGGGTGTTTTCAATATGTCCTTCCTTCTCTCCTCCAAATTATATATAGAGGAGCACTCTCCCCTGGAGTACAATTCAAACCACAGATGTAATTTAAGGTATTCTAGGGCGCCTGGGTGGCTCAGTCAGTTAAGCATCTGACTCTTGATTTTGGCTCAGGTCATGATCTCAGGGTCATGGGATCGAGCCCCGAGTTAGGCTCTGTGCTCAGCCAAGAGTCTGCTTGAGATTCTCTCTTTCCCTCTCCCTCTGTCCCTGCCCCCACTCTCGCTCTCTCGCTCTCTCTCTAAAACCAATAAATAAATCTTTTAAAAAAAGGTATTTTAGATATTGCTAAATCCTCCCGCTCCAAGGGATTGTACCATTTTTGCATTTCCCCCAGCAACATGTGAGAGCCCTGATTTCCTTAGAGCCTTGCAAACAGTACTCTCAACTGCCAGGCATGGGGTTTTCTGTCAGCCTAACCAGTGAGAAATAGCATCTTGGTGTAGTTTTAACTTTAAGAGGACTGTTTGATCTTTGAGTGTGGTGTAATTGAAAGTTGCAAGTGTTTTTTCCCAGGTCCTTCCTGTGTAACCTTCTCCCCTTGGCTTTTCCTTCTTCTCCTTCCAATGTGCAGCCTTGTTTCATGGCTCTGCTGTCACATTGCTGATTATCCTCTGAGCTCATCCATCAAGAACTCAACGTGCTTCTCTTCATACTGTGAGTTCTTCAAGAGGGGGGCTCAGGTTCTATTAATTTTTGTATTTCTAGCCTCTGATGCTGTGGTTAACTCATATGGGATGTTTGATATGTTGATTGTTTCAACCTCTATGCTGTGATGTGCACAATTTATTTCTAATCTCTACTTGTATATCTTCTTGTTCATGGTGTTCTTACCGCCTGGATTTCTCCCCCTTTTTATTCTCTAGATCAGAACCCGTTGAAATTTTACCTATCTTTCAAGGCTCGTCTGTGCTGTTTACTCTACAAAAGCTTTTCTGATTTCCTTTAGGTGATTTTTCCTTTCTTTGAAATCGTTTATACTTTGTATCTCTTCTGGGTCCTTGCTGTGTGACCCCTTCCCCTGCCTTTGCAGAGCCTAGTACCCAGGCTGAAAGAAAAGGATAGTTGATGAATTACATGAAATATGAATGATGTGTTCTTTCTCTATTTTACATAGTTGGTTTATCTTGCCTATTTAAGTTCCTATCATAAGTTTCTTGAAGGCTCATCAAATCAGACTCAAAGATGGGATATATTTTAAGCACTCACTTAATTTCTTGTTAAAAAAATTAACTTGTTTTAAAAATAGACTATAATAATTTCAGTGTTAGTTGCAGGACTGGTGGATGTTATTTCAGAGAGGAGAACCCACAGGGCAGGGCTGGGAGAGGAATGATTTCTGGCCTGAGCTCAGACATCATTAGTAGGTCAGTAACTTCACCTAGAGAAGTCAGTCACCTGAGTAAGTTACTGCAACAGTCTGAAGATGTTGTTTTTCTTTTTCTTTTTTCCCTTTTTTGGGGAGTACATGCAAAATTCATTTGCAGAATATTAAGTTACTTGATTGAATATTGAGTTACATTACTTGATTTATTGAACATTATTTTCATTGGGCTTTATAAGGCTCCTTCTTGTTTTCATTACTCATTTAATTACTCCTTATCTCAGAGCCCCACCCCATTTCTGCCTACCCTGTCAACACTTACTTGATCATATTTGACATGTGTCTTCAGGTATCCATCCTTATCAAATAGATAGGGCTCTGTGTGTGACTTTGGGTTTGGCCCTGTGGCTGCTTTAACCACTAAGATGAGGGAGAAATGACCATATACCAGATTCCAGTCTAGGCAATCAAGAGGACTGGATGTTTTCATTTGTTTCTTGTGCTATCATTGTCACCAAGACAAGCGTCCTGGTGGCCTTAGGAGGGGATGACTACTGTTTTCAGAGTGTTGGTTTTGAAACTCTTATCTTATTTCTTAAGACATTTTGCATGTTGCGATGATGTTGGGCATCAATAAACAAAATATGACCTGGAAGCAGTATAACATAGCATTCCCTGGAAATACTGTCATTACAATCATTTAGGGAATCTACTAAAAGTGAAGATCTTTTGGCTCGTCCAGACATTCTGTATCAGAAACTTTATGGTGGGGCCCAGGAATATGTGTTTTAAAAGACATAGCCAGTGATTCCGATACATGTGGTTCTTGGATCCATTTTGAGAAATATTAATTCTGTTCTCTATAATATAATGGGATAAATACATAAGTGTATGAAATGTGTCCATCATCTGTCCATCACCAATCTATGTTGAACATATTAACTTTGTTTAAAAAAAAGATTCGGGCGCCTGGGTGGCTCAGTTGGTTAAGCGACTGCCTTTGGCTCAGGTTATGATCCTGGAGTCCCGGGATCGAGTCCCGCATCGGGCTCCCTGCTCGGCAGGGAGTCTGCTTCTCCCTCTGACCCTCCTCCCTCTCATGCTCTCTGTCTCTCATTCTCTCTGTCTCAAATAAATAAATAAATAAATAAATAAATAAATAAATAAATAAAAGAAAATACAAGCTTATAGCCTCATGGAGATTTAAAAATGAACTTCAAACTGACACTGTGTAAGAGATAAGAGATGTCTTGCTTAAAGATGCCAGTTCACCAGTGATCTCGACCACTCTGTCCACAGACTGGGTTTATCTGCTTCACATCTCCCTCTGTCATGGAGAACTCTTCTCTCTGGCTTTTATCATGAACTCCCAAGTTACCAAACACAGTCCACATCGATTAGTCCACTGGACATTGCTGGTGTATGTGTAGGTCAGCTCGAAGACGGAACAGATGGTGTGACTCCAGAGGTGCTTAAGGCCTCTTGGCCCTGAGCTGTTTGTCCCATTGACTCAGTCACAGGACCCAGGGATGCCCACAGTGTGGAGGGTTCCTGTTAAATGCATCTGCTATTTGGGAAGGGCTAAACTCTCCTTTCCAGTCAGCGATAGCTTTGGCTGAAATACTTTCTCAGATCTTTAGCTGGTCACCCCAGACTTGGGGTAATGGGCAGTTTTGACAAAATAGGGACCAAGAAATATCAAGAATGTGGGTCATTTCATAGGACGCTGTGTGTACCTGAACACAGTGAGCAAAGGCAGGACTGACAAGAAAGGGGATTGGGTATTCCTCTAGACCTACTTTTATTTTGCAGTTTTTTTCCCTAGGGAAAAGAAGCCTTCATT